GGGAAATTCCAGACACCCATTATTCCAAAGTCCCCATGTACTTGTTGGGGGCCTCTTAAGGCTCATCAAAGGCTAACAAAAGGAGGACTGGAAAGACAGAATTTCCTGTGTTGCTTTGTCCATTCATGCTGCCTCTTCTGTCTGAGGATTCAGAGGTGCACAAATTTATTTGCTGCCAGTTTTACTGAGGGATGGAGATGCAGAGGCCTTTTAGATTAGGAAAGCAAGGGTAATGGGGGTACAGAGAAATTTGGAAGAGGCAGCATGCGTTCTACAGGATCCAAAGAAAGAACAGATAATGTGAGTGTGAAAGATCTGTGGGAAGGGAAAAAGACATCTAAGTGAGTTAAGAAGGACTGGGGTGGAGAAAGAGGTGAGCATAATTGTGTGTTATTGAGTGGAGAAACAGTTCAGAGACATCTATGGCAGTGAAAGAAAGCATGCTGCAGAGTAGAGAATAAAACCACTGGACAAAAATGGAAAAGAAAACATCTTTTCTGTGGTCAACGCAGTGATGCAATTCACTTGTTTGTCAAAGGGGTCCACAGAGTGGTTTGAGTTGTGTGCTCCTGCACTGGTGGAACAGAACTTTATGCCTCTAGACTCACTGTCTTTGCACAAAGATCTTGGCTCTCCTCCTCTTCATCTTCCACTTGTTCCTCTTCACTGTCACTATCAGTCTCCAAAGAATCTGTGCAAAGAAGAGAAGTTGCTGTAACTGAAGAGACTTGTATGCTATTGATTCCAAAGTATTTACAGTCAGTGAAGGCAGAGTCACTTCTGTACCACTGAAAATTTAGACCCAAGCACTGCTTTCAGCAGAGACCCTGAACATAGTTTATAACTGTGAAATGTGAGCATCTCAGTGTTGATGTAACACCCACCAAATTGCTTCATGCTGCTCATGATGGGATGTCGGTACTAATAAAACAGTAGTTGTACAGACTGTGGTTCCTGTTCAGAGGGCTTGCAGTACAAGGGAAATGGAGCAAGTATTCAGGGAGAGAACAGAGCTTAATGCGGAAGGCAAAAATGGAACATGAGATGGTTAACTACTATCAGTTAGTACAGAATAGGTTAGTACAGTTAGTACAGAATAGTTAGTACAGAATCAGTTAGTACAGAAAAGGCTTCAGCAAGTAGCCTACATGATTTTGACTATGCAAGCTGGAGATGCATGTCATCACCACCCCCAATTCCTGATCTAGTCTTAAAGGACTGCTGCTTGATACGACTACAGACGGGAGCAGCTTCTCTCTTTGGACCACAGTGGAGGAGGTCAAAACACAAATGCTTCCATTTAGCCAGCAGCAGACAAAAGTGACTGTTCAACACCAGAATCTAGGATGACCTAATGGAAAAATCCTAGCTGAGCAAAGTAGAAAAGGAAGCAGCAGACGATGCCTCACACTTCCTCTCTGCAGCTGCAACCTTCATCCCAACCACCACCTACATACAATATGCAAACAGGGCCTGGGGAGAGGCTCTCAAGCCAAGAGCTGAAGGGGTAGGCGGGCAAACTAAGGTAATAATCAGGACCTCAGAGAAACAGGGTATTTTCAGTAAACTGGATCTGATTTTATTATGTTTTCCTGGTTTCCATTCATGCACCCACCCTTTTTTTAATGATCTGACCTGAGCCCTTGGAATAGGGCTGACTATACTTAAAAATAACCACCTGAGTCCTTGCTGAAGCTGGAGTCCTCTGTCCAAATCTGGTTCATATCTGGAAAATTAAATGAGGTTGAAATTGGACTCAGTCTGGATAATTCAAGCTTTTCCTGGGTGGACAGGCAAATCCGCCTTCTCTGGAAATCTTCACTTTCCTCCTTTTCTAGTTTGGGGTCCTCTCTAGGATGTGGAAGCTCCACTCGAGCTCCTTGCATTCCTATTTCTAGGTTCCCAAGAGCCTCCTCCTGGGACAGGCTGTAAGTCCAGTTTCTTAGGCCATGTCCCAGATTCTTAGGATGGGCCCTGCCCTCCGTTGTGTCTTTATTCACAAGCTGTGAAATTAAGTGGTCTTCAGAAACAGGACTTCCCAACTCAACATCTCTCACAGCAGAATGTTGGTGAGGTGGAAACTGCGATGAGTTTGTGGTACTGGCACCTCCATTTTCTCTGGATGGGAATAAGTTGGCATCTTCGTGGGATAATATTTGAAGTTCTGCAGGTTGCTCTGCTGACAGATCTGTGAAGGAAGAGAGGTTCTCATCCAGGCTTTGATGATGTGCATCGGTCTCTATTCTGGTCTCCTCAGCGGTGAAGTCCATCATGCCTTTGTCTGAAGGAATGTAGAGCTGGGTGGAATCCTAAGAGAGCCAAACATAAAACAGTTTGCTCTGCAAGTGGGCATGTCGCAGGCACACCCCTCCATTCATGTGACTAGGTGGCTGGGAAGTACTGTGGCCTTTTGGACTGAGATACCAGGTTAATTACTAGCTGAATAGGAGTGGCCTTTTTAAGAAGCACTGATTGCTGCTAATTCTTAGAAAGGGCAACAATCTCACTTACCTTGCATGCTGCTTTCATAATGACTCTCCTGTCAGGTACAGCCATACTTGTGGGGGCAGCACAGTGCAGCATGCAGTAGAAATTACCTAAGGATAAAACAAGATGGCTATAACCAAGTAGAGGGGGCTATTGTTACCAATCTGCCAGCAATTATGCCATCACCAGAGCAGATTCCGCCTCCCCTTTCCTCTTTCTACTCAAAGAACATTGGGGCGGGGGGGCAACAGATCTCTGCTTGCAGCAAGTTAAATGCACAGTTCGAGGGAAAGTCGCCAGTCAAATACAAGAGAACCTGTTTGTATTGATGGCTAGACCACATAGTCTTATCTGGTGGGTAGTCTCAGTTCTAACCACCTCTCTCAACTCACCATCATCCTCGTTGAGGACATAGTCACCCAACCGCAGTGTCGTTTTACAGTGGTGGCACTTGAAACAACCACGATGGAAGAAACGCCCCTCAGCACTGACTCGCTCTACGATATACACATGTTCACCACAGATGTAGCAGGCATCACTGCTTCTCCCTGGAGAGAGTGGGGGACTCTGTCAAAAGACCAGGTCAGAAACTTAAAAGTTGTTGAGGGAATGGTCTCCCTGTCTCTAACACATATGAACTAATAGAACAAAGTTTGAGTCCAGTGACACCTTTAAGACCAACAAAGTTTAATTCTGGGGATAAGCTTTCATGTGTATGCACATGTCAGCATGCACACAAAAGCTTATACCCAGAATTAAACTTTGTTGGCCTTAAAGGTGCCACTGGACTCAAACTTTGTTCTGTTGCTTCAGACCAACATGACCACCCACCTGAACATATGAACTAACTCCACTTTAAGCCTCACAAGTATACAGGGCATTACCATTGATTAAATTCCAGTAATCTCTCCCAGTAAAATGTATTTAATTCATTTATACCCTTCCTTTCTTCCAATGGGAACCCAAAGTGGCTTACATCATTCTCCTCTCTCCCATTTTATCTCCACAACAACCCTGTGAGGTAGGCTAGGCTGAGAGAGTATGACTGGACCAAGATCACCCAGCGAGCTTCCATGGCATGAGTGGGGATTCAGATCTGGATCTTCCAGATACTAGTTCAACACTATTAACCACTACACCACACTGGCAGCAAGGAGCTAGCCAGTGGCTCAAGGATCCAGAAAGTTCTTTCCTATCACATGAAAAAAGCAAGATTTGACCTCCTGCCAGCATTTAACTGCACCAGATGAGTACCTAACAGCTGTTGCAGCTGGGCTTCATATAAACCAGAGAGCTGATATCCTGCATCCTGTGCTCAGGAGGAATTCTTGTAGTCTCCATGTGTACATGCAAGAGGTCAGACTTCACAAGTAGCATCCAACCTTTTTACACAATTATTCAGTGCATATGTACAAGCATGTCCGTCTGCTTTAGCCTCCAGGGTCGCCCTCCCCCCCCAGCTCTCTGATGCAAAACGTTTTCTGGGGGAAAGGAAATCAATAGGTCTCAACCAGGGGTCATGTCCTGCCGGAGTGCGGTGGAGCAGCGCTCCGGCAGTAAGGAGCCCGGGGCAGGGCCCCCCCGCCATTCCTGGCCTGCCTGTGCAGGTGGATGGGCCAGGGAAGGCCTGCAGAGCCCCCCGCCACCTGGGACTGGCTGGAGAAGGGAAGGGGAGGCAGGCAGACATGTCCCCCCTTTCCCCTGAGCCTCTCTGCCTTTGCGGAGAAACTCGGGGGAGTGGGGGGGATTTAAATGCCTTTCTTTCCCTTCCCCACATGAGGAAAAGAGAGAAAGGCATTCTAAACATGCCTGGGTTACCTGCCTGATCAGCCGCGGGGCACCTGGAGAAGACTGGGCAGGGAACCCAGGCATGCTTGCATGCCCACCCTTTGCAAGGAGGTGTGGCATATGCAAATGAACTCCTGCACCTCTTTTTTTACAAAATGACCCCTGGTCTCAACTGATAATTAACAGTTCAAGTGGACACGTTCAAGTCACCTATTCAAATGCTGAAGGGAGGGGAGTGATTTCCTGGATGAGACCTAATTTCACAGATGCAATCTGACTCTTGGGATCAGCATTTAAACTGCCGTCTTAAAGTTGTGAGTCATGTGGTAGCTGTAGTCAGTAAACTTTATGCACTTTTAGTCATGGGATAAAGGTCAGAAAGCTTATGCAGTCAATGGCATATAGGTTACTGGAAATATTTGTTCCAACCCTGAACATCTTTTGTTTCTTGATCTGATTTTCAGAAGCGGCAAGATCGAACAAATTGCCCCTCCCCCAAAAGATTACTGGTTTGTTCGTTCTAACATGTCCTTCACTAATTACCAGATTATGGAAGTCACATGCAGGCAAGTTATAGGTACATGTATTGTCTGACTACACAAGAAGCTTCTCTTTGTTCACAAACCAAGGATGCAACTGGCTGTAGCTTCCTAGCATACAGAGAGAAGCTACCTGCAGAAAATTCTTACTCATTTCAATCCCTATATGGCCAGTGCCCCCCCATGAATTAATTTGGTCACATATAAAGCAGCCCTGTATCAGCCCAAGGGATGCTGATGAACACCAGAGGTTTTCTTCCCTCACCTCCATTTCATGATCCATCCTGTTACATCTCTAGAACCTCAACATCTAACTTAAAGAAGGGATTGATCCTGTCCAAAATCTCTCTTAATACAAGGTGACAGTCAGAGATAGGAAAACTCACCCCAGCTTCTTGCTTCGTCCTTTTAGTTTCTGACTCCACCATGTTGCTGTCCTACAATTAAATGTTATGGCTTTGGATCAACAATAAGACAAAAGGCAAGTTTGTAGTTCACAGAATCAGATACCCCCAACCCAGACTACTTGCGAGTTGGGGCCAGATGCCAAGGGTCTGCCGGCCATTACAGAAGGCACAACTGTTTAAAACACTGGATGTGGCTTTTCACAGACTAGCAATGGTCCATAAGCAGAAGGACTCACCAGGGTTCGTTTACGTGAGAGAGAGAGACTTTTCTGGAGCTTGCTGAGGAAGAGGATAGCTCCCTTGGTGCCACGTGACGACAGAGGCTTTGCAGCTTCCTCCTCCATTTCTGCAAGAGAACACAACCTTTTCTGGGACAGAAGCAAACTTGAGAAATATGTTTGACCTTCCCCACCATCTCCATATAGGAAAGAAACATGGCAGTGGCAATTCCTCCATTACCACAGGGTAACTGATAACATTTCCACGAAAGGAGATTCAAGGGATCTGTGTCTCCACTACCATTTGGGACTCCCATATTCCACAGCAATGAGCTACTAGTCCATCCCTGACCTTTCTTCTGCTTCCATATTGTTCCTCTACTGTGTACACTATAAGCACTTTGGGCAAAGAACACTGATTCCTGTACAGAATCTTCCATAATGTTAATAGCTAAAGGATATATGGAGTTAAGCCTTTAAGAACAAAAGTTAAGATTATTTTGCTTTGGTGCGTATTTGGAGACTGAGGTAACTATGGATTATAGATTTTTTCCCCCTTTAGACCTGAAGGGCAATGCTTGTGTTATATTCAAAATGAGAAGGTGGCCAAGAACTGCCTTTCTAGGGCAAGTGATGCAGAAAGCAGCTTATCACATGAATCACCATCTTTGTTTCTAGAATCTCATCAGTTCTCATCAGTTTGCCTTCAGTTACATTCAATGGGAGTGTGCAAGGATAGAAATCCATGTGATGAGTTGCCCAAAACAAGACATCTGAAGCATGGAGCAGTTCTCCCCCCCACCTATTTATGAGGGGAGCGGTGGCAGAGTGAGTATATCCCACTGTCTTAACATCCGAACTGTGTTAGTTCGAGCCCTGAGCTGGTGTGAGCAACCAGCCTGTTGTCCCCAGCTCATCGTCCACCCAGCGATTCGAAAGCTTCGGCGAGTAGATAAAATGGGAACCACTCCTTAGAGAGGGTGGGCACACCAATCTCCCTTGTGGGAGGGTGTTAGCTGACGGTCAGGACGTCCTGGTCGAAGTTCGGAAAAAGGCGAAAGAACTTCTCGGCTACAAAAAATCCCTGCAGTGGATGTTTCCTGCTAGGTGGTGGCAGTGTGGCGATGTGACATACGGGTCCTGAAGCCTGGTTGACAAGCAGCCGTTCGGAAAATGACTGAGCCAAGCAAGAAGACGTTTGCGCCATGCAGTGACAGCGTGTGCAATTAAATGAATATATGTTGTCTTCCCTACCCCCTATGAACATTGTTAGTCCCCTGTCTAAAATGTGTAACTGTACATCGCTTTGAGCCCACTGGGGAAAGCGATTAATAAATTGAAAGTATTATTATTATTATTGTTGTTGTTGTTGGTCTTGTTGTTGTTGTTGTTGTTGTTGTAGGATCTCTGCAGGACCAAGGCCATTTTTAGTTTCCAGTTTGTTGTGTGCATCCTTCTCAAGAGAGGAAGACAGTCTTCATCAGAACCAAAGCATGATCAAGAGACATACTGGTGTTAATATACATATCGTTTAGATGTTTACCTAGCAAAGGTTCAACCTTTCTGCCACCTTTAGCTTTGACTTGAGGCTTTGTGCAGTATCATTTCACAAAACTTTTCCAACTAGCTTGCCTAAAGTCAGAAAACAACCTAGTTTTTCTTGTGTACACGGTATAGTAGCTTAAAGCAGGCTCCTACAAAGTTCCAAAGAAAAAGCTACCCAAATCTGCCCTATTATGGATGATAATTTCCCAGCCCTCAGTTCAAGCTAGCATGATTTCCCCAAAGATAAAATTTAAGACATGGCCTCTAACCTATCCCTTCCTAAACTGGTCCCTTCCCATATCACCAGCCCCAACTACAAAATGGTAAAAAGGAAGCCAAGGTTCAGTATTGGTTCCAAGATATAGTAGCACACACACGACTGGATTATCTGGGAGTATCTACCTGGAGAGGTCTTGAAGGCATCATAAAACTGACTTAGGTAAGTGATCAAGCCAAGTCGGTCAGTCTCAGACATTGAAGCCATTTCAGGACTGGAAAGGACTGGAGGGATCCCAAGCTCTTGCTCGGCCACATCTAGGGCTATCTGGTTGTTCCCAATGGGATCATTCTGGACAAGGGAGTTGAAGTCTCTGGAGATGGAAATTATAAGCCAGGGTGAATGGCAGGAATGACACCTAGAGATTTTTTTAAAATCAGGAGCCAGTGAAAGCTTATGTTTCATGGTGAAGGGTTGTTGTTTTTTTTTATTGCTATGCTCAACACATTCAACATAAATATACTCCATAGTGAAATCACCCTGACAACGCCTGTCATGGGATATGGCAACAATCAACAGTAAAACGATAACAAAAATTAGACCACTGTTTGAAGTACAAGAGCATCAACAGCTATTAGTTCATGACAAGCAACCCTGTGATCATGGTGACTCAACCACAACTCTCAGATTTATTTCTGTTCTCCTCCTATTATTAAGGGTACTGGAGATTTTGAAAGCTTGCAGACCATTTTATGTTATTTTAGTTGAGCCTCATAAAATGTATTACGCAGCGTTTATGGATTTTGCTCTGGACCATCAATGAAGCTACCTGCAACTTCTGTCTGGGTTCCAGGATCTTACAGAATATTTTAAAAGAATCCCATTTCCTGTCCATCATTCTCGACTAGCAAGCTGTCAATCTCCATCCCCTGCCCCATTTCCCATAATGGATACTCACAGAAGGTCAGGTCGAAAGTGATGAATGAGGGCACAGAGGGCCAGGCCACTCTTCCATGAGTGTGTGAAGTCCAGTACTTTGATGTCAGGGTAATTTGCTGTGTTAGTTTGACACCAGCTAAGGAGTTCCTCATAGGCTCTGTTAGAGTCTAGGTTGGGGAGGGGTGAATTATGCAGAAGAGAGAGAACAAACATAGAGACTTCAGAATAAAGACTATAGAAAGAAATGAAGACCTACCAAAACAGCTACTACAGCCAGTTCCCAGGATGTCTCCTATTACAGGATTTCTGTAGTATAAAACAAGTAGTACATTTGAAGGCTTCTAATTTGCTTCCTCCACTGGCTCTCAGGACTATCTCAGGCAAGGCAATAACTCCTGTTACACTCCAGATCTAGCTCAGTCAGGATTCCAACCACCCATTTTTCTGAGGAAATGTTCACACATCCTGAATCTCTAAAATTATATCTGCATTGCCCAGAACCACCTCTCCAGTGTAGTTGGAGAAACAAATGAGGTACACCTCTTGCACTTCTTAAAATCCAGACCCATGCAATGAAGGATGAGCCTAGCACTGATTCCACCCGACAATATACAAAAGCCAAATTAGCAATCACAGTAATATTTGGCACAGATCTCATGGCTCAGTTGAACATTTGCATGAACTCACCTTCATATTTGTACCCTTGAAGACAGAGGTGAGAGTTCAGTGAAAGTGAAATTTGTACAGTTCCTTCAGCTAAGGATTCCTGTACTGGGAAGAGATCCCCTGACTTCCTTTCTAAGCAAAATTAGCAGCAGTGTAGAGTCATCCTAATTATCTCAATGTGCATTCATTTCCTTTCTTATTATCTCTCTCTCTTTCTCCTTCTTATAGCCCCATACCTCCTTCCTAACCACAACAAGACTTACAGAACATTCCATTAGAAAGACAAGATAGTCAATGGGAACAGACTAGGAAGTGGGAAACAGTGACAGTATAGTCGGGTGACAATCGAGAAAACACAAAGAAGCAAAAGAGAACTGTAACTGAAAGAGGCTGTAGAGATGGAGACCAACACACTCATACAAGCATTTATGCATACTTGCATGTATGCATACAAACTTATTCAGAAGTTGGGGAAATAGTTCAAGAGATACAAAGGTATATGTTGCCATTTTCATTTGTTTCACTGAACTCTGGATAGCAAAATGCTACTGTGGAAGCAAAATGTCATAGAAACTGATGCTGTGCAGCAGGGGATTTTGCTCACAGAGGTGATCATTTGGATGGTACAAGATTCTGTGATAAAATCTGAAGAACTACCATAAATCAAACTACAGAACAGATTTAGGGAAAGGGTGAGGAACAACAAATTGCTGAGATCATCCAAGAATTCAAGTGGTTTTAAATGTGAAATTGCTGTTCTACATACTTTGGTATGTATCCTCTCTTTACTATGTCAGAGAATTTGGAAACAGCTAATGTTAACACTGAATCTTTTTTTTGTTTAAAGGCTGCAAAGACAATCCTGCATGTATCAGCGTGGGATGTTGTTGGTGGTTGTATCCTGCTCCAGGGCACATGCTACAATTGACAGCCCCTGAGTCTCTTTCAAATCTATGTTTAGTCTATTGGTAGGGCTGTGTGAATTCCAATTGGTGTGTTCACCATCTAGAGATTCTCAGCATTCATATGCAAATTAACCTTGTTTGCCTATGCATACAGGTGATGTGATTTGTCTTCCTTGTCTGAGAATTTGTAAAAATTCCATGCATGCATGGAGTCCTATCTGTGGGGAAGCAGACATGGTGTATAAGAGCAACATATTAGGATCACAAGGTTATCAACGGATATGCTGCTCAGGTGCAAAGCAGTGCCTTAGAGAAAGAATAGTAGGAAAGATGGCAAAAGGAATGGGAACAGCGGGAAGGTCTACAAGTAGCAAACAATCTGCGTGAGTGTGGAGGAAGGCAGGCATCACTGTGTCTAAAGAGAGAGCCTGGCCAGCAAGAGAAAGTGCCAGAGTGGTGTTCAGGTGAATCCGTGCAGCTGGTAGCCAGGGGGTGGAGCCATCCACACTTACCTGTGCAGATTGCCTCTGGACTAGCCCAACTGCTCTTCTGGTCCTCTTCAATTGCTCCTGTCACATACAGATGGCGAACCTGAAAGCAGATGCACCAAGTTACTGCTCTCACTGACCACAGCTTGCACCAAGAAGCTGAATCCCTTGGTCTGAATTCCTCATCTTCTCAGTTTGGACAATGGACCACACCCCATACCACAGCTGACAACAGTGTTCCTGCCATAATAGCACGGAAGAACATCTTGCAGGCAGGGCACACCAGGTCCCACCGCAATGAGCCAGCCTCCTTGCATAACCCTGTTATTTCCTGAAACAAGGCTTGGAGAAATGCAAAACAGGCCGAGATTTTGTAGTGGCAAAGAAGAATTAAAAAAACTCCCAAGGACCATAAGGTCCTCCCTCCCTCCCTCCCTCCCTCCCTCCCTCCCAGGCAAGTTACCTGAGAAGCTTTGATGGCTTGAAGGTTGATGTTTGGGTATCGCGTGGTGGGATCAATGCTGTACTGACTGATGTTCTTGTTGGTGCTGTCTGGGGAAGTCTGTGACAGCCGCTGGGACACACTCTCTCTGAGTGGTCCCTTAGCCCCCCAGTAGCAAGGCACACTTACGTGCCCTCAGGCAAAATAGCAACCACCATCCCATCCTCTTCACAGAGGTCCCTCCTCACCTCTCTTGCCTGCCTTTGTGACTGGAGGAGAATCATTAAGTTCTCCTGCATTCTCTTTCCCAGTGTCTCCAGACCTCTGAGTTACTGTTATTGGATTACTGCAATGCTCTCTACATGGGGCTGCCCCTGTCCCAAATTTGGAAACTGCAGCTGGTGCAGAATGCAGCGGTGAGGCTGTTGTTGTGTCTGCCCTAAAAGTATTGCACTGGCCGCCTATAGCATACTGGATTTGGTTCAAGGTGCTGGTTCTTACCTTTAAAGCCCTATATGGTCGGGGACCTATCTACCTAAGGGACCGCCTTTCTCCACATGTGCCTCAGAGAGCACTAAGATTGGGATCCCAAAATCGCCTGGTTCTCCCGGGCCCAAAAGAGGCCAGGTTGGCCACAACGAGGGCCAGAGCCTTTTCTGTGACGACCCCTCACTGGTGGAATGAGCTCCCGGATGACATCAGGGCCCTGCGGGACCTTTTGGAGTTCCTCAGGGCCTGTAAAACAGAGCTCTTCCGCCAAGCTTTTAAGTAGGGTGCTGCCTTAACACCATGGCCCTGGCCCTAACATCAACATCACCACCAATTGGACAGCTAACAGCCTGGCAGGAGACTGGACTAGGACGTAGGCGCCCATTAAAATGTTGATAGAATGTCGGCATCTCTTATTATAGGATGTACTGAGTAGTTATGGTTTTATACTGTAATCTTAATTTATTTTGTTTTTACCATATTATGGAGTTTTAATGTATTTTTCATGTGCATGTTTGTTAGCCACCCTGAGCCCATTATGGCGGGGAGGGCGGGGTACCAATTTAATAAATAATAATGACTTCCAGTTTCAGCGACCCGCAGACGGATGCACCTCTTCAAGCTCTGAGGGGTGCGATCCAGATCAGGGTTGCAGGGAGGGGGACCGGATGATTTCAGCCTCCCCCGAAGCCCTTGTAGGGGGCTTCTAGCCTGGGGCGCAAAAGGAGCCGCTCCCAAAGCTGCAGCTTGGGGATTGAGGCTCCTTTTTGCCCTGTAAGGTCCCGGTGTCCTGAGGCCAGCAATGGCACTCAGAGATGCATTCCAGAACCAGAATGAGCAAAGATCTAAGCAACAGAGACCTTCCCTATTCTACCAATAAACTACTGACAACAAATGTGAGTGAAGAAAAACTAAGATAATAAGCGTGAAGTGAGAACCAGTAGAGAAACAGTAAAGCACTAATTCTAGAGAAGGGGGGAAAGCCTCTCAGAGGGGGAAGAACAACCCTACCCTAGACAAAACAGCGAGAAAAGCAATAAAATTTAAAAGCTACATTGAATGTCTAAAGCGAGAAACTCACCTCACCCACATTGAGTACAGAGGGCTACATTTTATACTGCAAGGAAGATTCTCAGAACTTGTAAGAACTTTTACCTTTAACATAAACAATGTCTCAGCAAGGGGGGGAAATGGCATCCAGAAGGAAAGTGATTACAGAAACTGCAAGTCTAACATCACCAATCACAAGACCGGAACCAACTTCAGACATTGCCAGTACGATTTCTGAAGCACTGCGCCCTCTGCTGGACCAGATAACTAACCTCAACAAGAATTTTGATGCCCTACAAAAAGAGCTTAAAGAAACTAAGGTAAAAACAAAGAAGACAGCCAAAAAGCTGAAAAGGGTTGAAGACAAAAGCATTGGACCAAAGAATGGAAATAGCAGATAAAGAAAGGGCTTCTGAAAAACAACTACCACTACAGCTACAAGTAGAAAGATCACTATGTTTTAAGATTTCAAGGCGTTCCAGAAAAGAAAGATGAGAATTTGAAAGAGATCTTAAGTGAAGCATTGGTTCCCCTGGCAAACTGTAAACCTGAGACACTACAAGCAGATATGAACATGGTTTATTGGACCTATCCAGAATTTATCAAGAAAAATAATTTGCCAGGGGAAATATTTGTGAAATTCTCTAAAAGATCAACAAGAGACTTGACATTCAAAGCATCTAATGGGATAGCTGTAAAAATCCAAGAAGAAGAAATTAAAATCTTAAAGGATGTTCCATTCAAAATACAAAAGAAGAGGAAGCAATATAGAAACATCACATTATTTCTACAGGAAAACTCAGCTCCGTATCGATGGATTATTCCAGAAGGACTTATTTTCAACTTTAAAGGGAAAAAGGAAAATATTGACTCTCTTGCTAAAGCGGAGCTATTTCTGAAGCAGCATCAAAGTCCAGCGAAAGGAAAAGCAGAGGATAACAACGTAATAGAAGATAAAACCAAAAAACATGAGTCAAATAATGACAGTTCCTCTTCCTCATCCATATCTATTGGCAAGATTTTTGACTCTGATTCTGAATCTGAACAGGGGGCAGCTGCTCCTAGATCATATAAGGTTAAAATCCCTTGAGAAAAGAAGAAGAAATGTAAAGGAAAGAAAACAACGAAATGAAGATCTGAGAATATCCTTTGTATGTTTTACTTACATGAAATATGCCCATTATGTTACTCCATTCAATATTATTTTTTCTGCATACTTTTTCTTAAGCTAACTATTGTACTGTAATTTTAACTATTAGGGAAATATAAAAAATCGTAATTTGACCATTAATGATCCTTGCCTACTCTGTATTTTTAGGTTGTAGTGTGTAGTTTGTAGATGTATAGATAAAAGCAATAAAAATTATTATAAATTAATAAATAATAATAATAATACTGTTACACATGACTTGGGAGATCTATTGTCTAGCTGGGGAATTCCTAGGACGATTTATACAGATTCTGGTGGTGAAAATTCCTGTTAAGTCACAGCCACCTGTCCTGACCTGGATAGCCCCGGCAAGCCCAATCTTGTCAGATCATGGAAACTAAGCAGGGTCAACTCTGGCAAGTACTTGGATGGGAGACCTCCTTGAAATACCAGCAGTCAGGAGGCAGGGGCAGGCTTTATTCAGCCACCTCTCTGAATATCCTCCAGGCCCCCAGTAGGGGTCAGGCACCAGAGGTTGCCAAGACTTCCAGGTACACACACACACACACACATGTGCACATTTTTTTAAAAAAAAAGTCACAACCACCTTATGGCAACCCTGTAGGGTTTTCAAGGCAAGAAATGAACAGAGGTGGTTTGCCTCTGTGTAGCACCCCTGGACTTCCTTGGTGATCTCCCATCCAAGTACTAACCAGGGACAACCATGCTTAGCTTCTGAGATCTGATTATATCAGGCTAGCCTGGGCCATTCAGGTCAATACAACAACAACAACAATAATACTATAATAAATAAGCAGGAAGAATCACTGAAGGCCATCTACGCAACATTTTATGGGGCAGAGGCTTGCTATTTGGACAGTGATACTTCAGTGGCAGAGCACATGCTTTGAATGTCAAAGGACTAAACTTCTGGTGCCACCAGTGCAAAAGACCTAGTTCCCTGCCAAAGTCACATGCTAGGCAACACTGGCTGATGAACCAGTGACGAACTCTGTAGAAAGCAGCTCCTGATATTTATATTCCTTTCCCAACACTGAACCTGTAACACAGAACTCCTGCAAAAAAAAAGGGCTCTCCCTTCGCAGTCATCCCTGTGGCCAGAGAATATCCCATTTTAGAGAGCTCACCTCTCAGCCAGCACATCCAGAGGGGGTGTCCCTGAAGCCCATCTCTTTACCATCCAGGCAGCATCAAAGGCTGCCAGGAACCCTCTGCCCACACCGGTACCCAATGGCCAGAATGGCTGGAGAACACACAAAAAGAAAGAATGAGGGAAGCTTTGTGAGCCTTAACAAAATGAGTCTATACAGTACAACAGACATTACTGTGTGCAGCTGCACTGAAATTGGACAGATGTCACAGAAAATTGTAGTTCTAGGATGAATCTGTCATGGTTATTTCACAGCCAAATCATGTGTTTGGAAAACTCTGGCTTTAAAAGAGATCCCCTCACCCACCCTCCACCCATTCCAGGTGTCAGCTGGCAAGCTGACCTCTACCAGATGAGCTGGCAGCATTGAGGGGAGGCAAGAGTACAAAGGATTAAATGCCAGATCAGACACAATAGGATTCCCAGCGGCTGGAAGAGCCTCCAGGCTCAACAAACAGAAGTATGTACTGTTCCCCCAGCCTCACAAAACCCAGCAAGAGGTACTGTCTGCCCAGGAAAGTGGTATAGCACCCTGCTAAGCCCGGGGGGAAATGAGGTCTATTGAAAGATGCATCTCACATAAATGACCTTTGGAAAAAGAGGCGGCCTTGTAGGCTCGTTCATCTGACCCATAGTCATCCTGCACTTAACCATGCAAGGCATTGGGATTGCCTGGACTGAAGCATGATACTACTCAGCATGTTTGTTGCATCTGGGTTCCTTCCATACTTTAGAGCTTTCAACTTGCAGTGTCCTTTTTACAACAGTTCCCCTGACCACATGCTTATCACCGGGTGGTAAGAGGGAAGTGAACGTTCCAGCTGGAACAGCACTATCTACAATCTGCATACAATTACCTGTACATGCCTCATACAAGTCAATAGGAATGAGTGCCAAACTCAACTTTCAGAAAAATCCCATGATGCTGGATTCTGTGTAAAACACAAAAACGCAAAAAACTAAATGCTGAAAGCTAGCCCAGGGGGAAGCATGGTGACCTAGCTTCCTCCAGCTGCCAGGAACTTTTAATGTGGGGGGAGCATTCAGTGGTGAACCACCCATTCTGAAAGTAATGCCGTCCCAGGAGAGCGGCACCATGTGATTTTTTTTTTGAACTCCTAAATCAGCCATTCTTGGAAGAGAAATAAACATGAATTCCAAACAATGATAGTAGAGACACCCCTACCATAACGATCATTCTGGTCTCATCAAAGGGACACTTACCTCCACTAGGCAGTCCCCCACCAGCCCAATGAGCAGCTTGGTACCATGGCAGCCACGTACTAGTGCTGCATTCTCCGAGCGGCTCATGCAGGTGAAGTCAAACATGTCAACATCTGGCTGGCTGTGATGGTTCAGTGCAAACTGCAAGTTGGGCAGCTGGTAACTGGTAGAAAAGTTGGCAGCTTCCTTGGCATATGCTAGAAGAGCTTCCTGGTTCACATTGTCTGGAGACAGCAGGCTCTCTATATCCAGCATGTCCTAGAGATATCAACATCCCTTCCATTATACTTTAATCATCTTGAACTACATTTGTTATGTTTGCAGAGTTGAAGTGTAAGCCTCCTTGTCATTGTAACCTTTTTGGGTGTGGAAATATTAGGAATCTCCATTAATAAGAAGAGTTCTGCATGTCAGGTTATTCTCAAGCTCCCTTGGAAGCACTCCCTACTGGTATTTCTCATCTGCTCTGTGCCACCATTGATCCTTTCTCTTCAAAGTTTCCTATTCCAAGCACAGATTGATTCTATTTAAGAACATAAGAACATAAGAGACGCCAATGTTGGATCAGGCCAAAGGCCCATCCAGTCCAACACTCTGTGTCACACAGTGGCCAGAAATACCAGTGCCATCAGGAGGTCCACCAGTGGGGCCAGGACATTAGAAGCCCTCCCACTGTTGACCCCCCAAGCACCAAGAAGACAGAGCATCACTTGCCCCAGAGCAAGCTAACATTCCTCAGGACCATGTGTAACCTTGCCCGCTAACTAATGAACTTTGTTTTCCATCACAACCAGGACCTTAGGAATTTTAGCTATTATCTGATTCCAAACTGACAGCCCAAGTGCATTTGTTAGAACCTGTTTATACAATCAACAGACTCAAGCAGTAAAGTTCTTCCTGGATTGTACCGCTTCAGGCTGTATGGAAAGGTGTTCCATATTTGAAACCTTCCCCATGACAAAATACTCTCTACATATGTCAAGGTGAAGAGTTCAGACTAACCTGCCCCTTGACATTCTGTTTTTGTTGAGTTTTTGGAAGGGCGCTACTCCTTTCACCTGAGAGGACTGAAACACCTGATCCTCCGTTCCAGCCCCACCTCTTGAACTGGTACAATTCTGCTCATTCACACTACCACTTTCTGTTTAGATTTTGAATTCATGTGAGTTCTTTGCATGTGTGAAGTGAAATGCACACTGCACATCATGTCTACCAGTGAGACTCAAGCACAAATCACCAACAAGCCTGCAATGGGCTTTGTGGATTTCCTTAGAAAGCTACAAGGACCAGATAAAATCCACAAAACGGTTGTATCAGCTGGCTCTAAAGTGGGCCTGGTCTTTCACT